GAGCAAAGAATCAACATTAAATTTTGTGTCTACTATATATATACTATATACATATTATAGTGTTACCCATTTATATATATATTCATATATATATGTAACCTATTTTACAATAGTGCTATTGGTTATATCCTATATCGAGTAATATTGCAATTTTACTAGAAGGCCTCATAGTAATCCAAAAATTAGTAGGTACCCGTGTCGCGTGAGATGATCTAAGAAGTAGACAAGAATATCTATAGCGAAGGTATCTATTATAGAATTTTGTTTAACTCGGGACAATAAGTAATGATGAGCGGTTTTCGTACCCATATTTGGAATATTCAATTCCTACAAAATTTACTTCACGATATTGTATTTTATCAACTGAGACCAAGCTAAAATTGTGGACGGCATAATTCGGTTCGAGAGCAACCAGTTCGAATTCAGACCGAACAAAAGTCATTAAATTGTAGAATATAATATCTCTAAAATATTTGTAAAATTTTGTATATATACTTAATGCTCGCTAACATTCTCTAGCCCAGACGACAATTCAGAAATCCCCGCGACTTGGTATTTTTGCTCACTGGCATATTTATAGTTTTTGGCGCATTAATTTAATTTTTAAACACTTGTCAGTACGCTAAAATTTTGTGCCAGGTTGCAAGTCATTTTTAGACTTTGCTTCAGTATGCGACAACGTTCCACAATGAATACAGTTACTTTTTTAATGATAATCAAGGAAGAAATGTTTGAAATCATAATTTCTAATCTAAGTATATGCTATTTTATTCATAAAAACTCTCAAACTTGGCTTATATATATGTGATTATCGCTAAACAAAGGACATTTTTTTTTCCGGACTATTGTTGGTTATAGAAAAATCATTTTTGGAATATAGCCTATGGAAGATTATTATTAAATATATTTTTCAATACTAGGGCTCACAATATGATATTTTCGGAAAAGTTATTTTTGATTTGAAACCATTATTATTAGTGAAGAGATTGAAGAAAGGTGAATTCTTTGTGCGATGAGATAGATATGCAATTTACCTTTTCAAAATCTATATTGAAAAACTTTTACGGTAGACAATGCTCGATCTAATATAGTCCTTTTTAATGTGTTCGGTCTGTCAACAGAAAAGCCTTAGAAAGAAGGGTAATTTAGTCTAAATTTAACCCTGACAGCAAAATGATCTTTTTTTGTCTGGAAACTAAATTTTATTTAATGAGCAAGTTACAAAATTTTCAGTAAAAGTGGTTTATTTTATACAAAAAATGGAGGAAAAAATATTCATGTGTATGATAAATTAGAATACGGAAATAATTGCAATTACCGTTTTTAGAAAGGAATGAAAAATACCTCAATACCTTTAACGCCAGACTGATTTTTGTAACTGTGTGTTTTATACTTTCGCCCAAACAAAATATTATGCAAGCAGCTACTTTGTCATACAGAACTATCGGATATAAAATTGTAGGTATTATATTTCCGGCTCAGTATTGACTTGAAGTATCGATGGAATTAAATGTGAGCCAGAATGACTATATGGCAAAGCTCCGCATTGAAGAATGACTCATAACAGTTCAATGATGGCCTCGACATACTTGGTAAATGGTAATGTTACCATGTTAGAAAAACATTTTAATATAATTTAGCATTATTAGAATATTTCTAGGATTTTGTATAGCGACAAATTTAGGAACCAGTTATGCGGGTACACAAAATTTGCCCTTTGGTCAAATGAGCCTGATTGCGGTATTTTGTTTTGAACCGAACTCATTTCTACCCGGAAGAAGTTTATTATTACTGTTGTAGAGTGGGAGTTTAGTTTTGTATTTTTGAATTAAGTATCTCCGTGTGTGTTACGTCACAGTTTGCACGTTGCGTAAGCGGTAACAGGTCGTCGTCCGGTTTTAAATGCAACAGGTAAAAGCAGTGAATCATGTTATATATCAATTCGAGCTTTTTCTGTGGATCTATTTCAATTTGTAGTATATAATAATCTAAAATGCAGCTTGAGTAAATGGTGAAGAAATATTGTGATTTTAATTGAAGTAATACTTGTTAATGTGTGTGGTTTCAAGTACTGTGAACGCTTGATAGCTTTATGCAGTCAATTTGTAATAAAAGTTGTCGAAATGTATTGCTAACTACTGAGAAGAGCATTCGAAAAGGACTAAAATATCAAAATTTTTGTCACGAATTTGATTTAAATTTGATGTACAAAATAAAGCAAGACAATTTGGTATTGCATGATATTATGAACAACAATATATTTTTAAATCATCAAGTTTTGTATCTGTGATATAAAAACTGTGCCATGTTGGAAGAGGGCTAAGCAATAATCACAACACATAAAAGCATAGTAACATTAGCAAAGGTCCAATATTTGTTAGCATTGAATTCGATACCGGCAACAATCGACGCTCAATCCAACTTCCGTGCTAGAGTTATATTAGTAATCAGTACGTTCTGCTTACTGTCGCGCGATGACAATTTTATAGTCTATTATGTTGACAGTTGCTCGCCCCATCCAGAGCAGTTAAATTAGGAATAATAGTTCAATTATGACGCCTATTTTTATTCCTAATTCACTTCTCCCAGTGAGCTTTGAATTACATGATTGCAATTGATAGTACGGTTAGACAAAGTCTTGAACGAAGCATAAGCGAAGTAAAATGGATACGCGACAAAAATGAAGATAGAAGCTTGAGAATTTCGAAACTAAATTTGAGTGATTAAGCGTCATAAAGGGATATGCAAAGATTGTCGTCATTATGTTTTCGTTTGATGGTATATGAGGAAATCTGGCGCATTAAATTGCACAAAATAATAAGTTGAAGGAAAGCAATTCAGCATTCGTAAATTGGATGCAAGCACATCAAAAATTAGAAAAATTGTTAACTGTAACATTTGACGAGTTCATTTCCTTAAAAGGTGAAAGGTGACGTCAATTTGACGAAGCATTAACAAAAGCATAACAATCAGCAATTATGTTTTGAACTGTAATTTGCCAAATGCGAGCTATTTTGAGATTCTATTTCATAAGAGAAAAGTTCGTGTTTGACATTCTTTTAAAAAAGAATATGACGTCACAATGTTATGTTATTAGCAGACTAATAGTTTCACTTTGAAAATAAAGAACACGTGTATGTAAATTTGTGACTAAATTGCATTGGCCGAACGTGACATATCTCTAAACTATGTATAGTTCACAGAATTTACGTTATAATTTTTGCATCCAATTGTTAACAAATAATCGCATTGGTGACAAAATGTCTGATGATGATAATGGAGTCTGTGTTTCATAAAAAATCTCATTAATAAATAATGAGTATATTCCTATCTATAAAAGTACACATTTAATACAAAAAGCGTTGAAATGACACTGTATAGTTATATTTTTTCCATGTAAGTACCAAGCGTAATATTTATTTCGCAAATATATATCATACATGGTATAGTCACAAGTCAGGAGAAACAATATCTTAACCCAAGGTTGAATAAACGTGAAAGTAAAGTTAAAAAACACATTTTTGACAAGGTGTTACGTAATATTCGAACTGTAGCCTACTTTATTGTGTATACCAAAAGAAAAAAAGTAGGAATATAAAACTGTTCAAGTTTTTGTTCACAGGATGGAAATAGGACCTCCATTTTATGAGATGGTCGGAAGAGTGAGGGAGTTACAAATGTCGGTAGTTATGAAGGTTTAAAAATATTGCGTTTCAATCGGGATAGATAACTTCTTCAAGGCTAAAGACTAAATTGATTGTCCCCAATAACATAATTAATCAATTGAGATTCTGTGAGATCGACTACTCACCCTTTTTCTGTATTTTGAGCGTGTAAATTTGTATGTGTATTATAATGCAAGAATGATATATCAATAGAGAAAACACTTAGAATTGATACTATTGCTTTGCGTTCCACACTGTTGCGGTGATATTCCGAAAAACACTACTGTACTCTGGTTGCGATTGGAATTTCTTAATGAGTAGAGTGTGTTGGTTTGACCAACAAGATTGGATAAACTATGCTGATCTCTGAAAGATTTTGGTCCATTCAAAAATATTTAGCAGAATTGTGGAATCATTAAATAAAAAAGTGTTTTGTCGTTAAAGAGTGAAGTTGTTTTGATCAAATTGTGTGTGAATCCGTTTGTACTACAAGACTTCCAATTAAAATGATAATGATGTAAAAACAATACACTTCTATTATGTTTTACACGATGATTCATGAAAACGTAACATTTGGTAAATACTCTATGCACTTTAATTGTTGTGTACCTTGGTTTAATGAAAATTTGATCAAACAAACAGAGGTCGAATACGAGGTGTGGCTAAAAAGAAACGAGACTGACGTCACAGATTGCGCAACACGATTAACCATTGGTAATCAACACTTTTACAGTGTGGTGTAATATGTGTTCTTTGTTCAACAGCTTTTTTGACACAATATCGCAATTATTTTTGCTCTTTAGGAGTCGTAGGTGAATGTGATTAATTGCTTGTTGAAAAAAAAATTGCCGTGCGAGATCTGATTGAGTTTTTTGGCGATAGGGGGTTCAATTGCAGAATGACGATTGGGCAAAGAGTTAACATTAAATTTTGTGTCAAACTATATTGTATGAGCTTTGCGATTTGAAATGTTCTCATTAAAGATAATGAGACAACAGCGGAATAATATGAGCATTGTTAAAAATGACGGATGTATAAAACAACAAGCTTTCATAACGATTTTAAACAGTTTAAACAGTTAAACAGCTCAAACAGTTTTAAACAGTTTTGAAATATTCTTATTTGTTGTAATTTAGTAAGAAAAACCTAAAAATTGGCACAAGGTTCTCGTTCGGATAAGGTATATTTCGTCTTACGAAAGGTCACACATGTTTATTTTTTAGCATCTATTTACTCGACGTTTAAAAATTTGTAACAACGATTAGAAAAAGCATTTGGGTATAGAAAAAAGAATTGTCAAATTCAATCTCATCTTCTCAAGACGTAAGGGTGGATATGGCGCTAAGAAGAGCGTTCGTCTTGCTCATCTTCTCCGTGGCACTGATACTTGGCATTTATGCAGAGGAGCAGATACCACCTAAAATATTTTCTATTACTCCAAACGAAGGAAGCTATATGGGAGCAACTAGAGTATACATCAACGGTCAAGGTTAGTATCTTCTTGTTTTTTTTATATTCACGTAATTTTGTTTTGGCATATGCTCATCGTTTAGTTGTTTTGATTATATCTTTAGCCGAGTATCGTTATTGGCAACAACTGATGGGATACAACGAAATTTGTATCGGTATAAGTCAAATTCAACCGATATTTCAACTTTCAAAACCATATTTTTTGTATCGTATGTCGTGTTTTGAAAGATCTATAGGTCTTTCTACATGTATGCGGAGAGCTGAATTCACTTTCAAAGTTTCTTGTGTTTTTAAAATTCGGCCCATTCGATTCTGATATTTTTGATATACCTGATAAAACTATGCTCATTTTAGCATATACAATTATAAAAAATATTTCAATTGTAGGATTTTCTTCAAGCGGAAATTTTAACTCAGCTGCAAGCCAGGCAAAACTCGGAAACAAAGCCTATTTCCTGAGTGACTTCGAAACCGTGCCATGCGACGTGGAGAACGATGCCAGTCACGAGACCATGATTGTTTGTTACACACGGTAAGCTGAAGGCATTTGCTGTCAGCAGCATTATTTCACATGGCATATTTAGTTCACAGCGTTTCCCAATAGTATTCAAGATACAGTTTGAAGCCAGATAAGAGAGTGCATGGACTCTGGAGTCGTTTTCTAAATCTGTCATGTAACGGACGGTACGTAAGCCAAAATTTTGATTTTCCTTGGTCCATGAGGGCGTGGGGTTGGTGTTAGAATTCGAAATTTCCGATTTTGTGAGTCGAAATGAAACAGGATACGATATTACAATATTAACTTTTGCAATAAAATATCTTGTACATGAACCATAAATAATAAAGTATGTTTGTATATATTCCAGGCCAATGAGAAGAGATACCTGGTATTACATCCAAGTTGAAGTTGACGGTGTGCTTGTACCGTTCCGGGAGAACTGCAATAGGAATCCATGGAGCTGGAGATGTAGATTCGCTGTAAGGGCAAATAACAATTTTTTTTTGTTTTTTATTGGTTTATAATCTAACGAATTACCGCTTACTAGTAAACGTGCTCGGTTGGCTGTATAGGTTCTCGCTTCCGTAGGGAGCACAAAACACTGCCCAATGCGTTCAGTACACGATGAAATGATGACTTTAGACAGCAGTGTTTTATTGGTATTGCATTCGGAGTCAGACTCATATCCTTCGAAGTCGGGCCAGTGTAAAATGCCGAATTGCCCGTATTTCAGACCTAATATTTGAAGTCAAGCCAACGAATAATGAAAAGCATTTAGTTAACTAAGCATTTACAGCATACAACTAGGGCGTGCATACTCTATATTTTTGTGATGAAAATTCGACTTCTTCTGAATTGAGAGCTGAAGTGGAGTTTGAAGTCCGTTGAGATTTTTCCCGACTCCTAATTAACTTATAAAACTAACAGATCGAGAGTGTGATCTTAAAACATAGCACCTTTTGCAAAAATGCCAAATATGCAAAATTCGAGGCTCTGCCTCGAATATGACAAACCCAAGCTATAAGATCACAGTTTTAAATTGAAATAAAAGGCGTTCCATAGAAACATATTTTAAGCCGGATACAGATGTGAATAATACAGCAATTGAAATAAACCTTTTATTCTTTGTGATCTCTATTCAGACGCGTTGGTATAAAACGCCATATTTGGACCAATGTTACGTCACACAAGACCAAGAAGAAGTCCCATATCCGATGCTAAAAGCTCATGCTCCCGGTGATTTAATAACTTGCAGAGGACGAATTTTTACGTCTATTTATGGCCCGAACAATCAAACTAATGAAAATGGTCGAGAAGTCTCTATTCGAAGGTACGGTTCATATCTTATTTTTAATTTTGATACTTGCAACTATTCGTGAACAATTTAATATCTAAATCTCTATACAATAAATATATAAAAGAAACAGTAAAAATACCTGGAATACAATTCGGACAAAAGAAGGTAGAAAAGATATGGGATGAAATGAAAACCAAGCTAACCCAAACGCTAACCTTGATTTACGTTTTTTGTATGAAAATCTATTTTATAAAATGTACAGGGTATTAACTTACGTAGCATATTCTGACAAAGAAAGTACAAAATACATATAAAAGTCAAGTTTATTTTTTCAATCCAGCAAAAATAACAAACGAAATTATGAAAAAAGTAAAATTGACACACATTTTTACTGGGAAAGGTAGTCGCTGGAGACTGATTATTAAGCAGCAGTTTTCAGAACACTGTTATCTCTGGTGAATATGGCTTAGGCAGCTGAACTAAAAATATTATCCACTGACACTGAGATTGTACGAGATGACCCCAGATAGCGAATCATGGTTTGTTTTGTTACATTATGTTTGAAATGACTTGAAATGACAAAACTTGCAGCATGCATTCGCGAAAAAATGTCCCTCCATTAAACGAACGATTCTTTTTAGCGATGTTGTAGGCTACAATATAACTGGCCAATAACTTGGATTCACTTCCATTGGACATTTATTCAAACATGTTCATTTGACTTTTGTATGAATTCAGCAATAAATTAAATTTAAAAATACGCGCGTCAACTGATCAATTTGAAGAATGCTCCGTCTCATAATGGCGCTTGATGTTGTATTCCTTCAGAACTGGAATAGTTTTTGGCAAGGAGGACAAATCGCTGGAGTTTGATTCTTTTCAATAAAGAAATAAGAACGCTGCCCGTTTTTCAAAAAAAGTCTGTTTTCAGAGTCTAGTTTTCGTTTTTGTGACATCTTTAAGCGTTTTCAATATTGAGATGATAACTAAAATACTGCCGTACGTAATCCTAATACCGGTACTTACACACAGGATGCCGGTATAATTGAATTTTTATCATTATACCCGTGCTTAAATTGTGATGACGTAACAATTAGCGGCATCAACGACGCAAAATGAAGAACACATTTAAATTGTTAAACGTATTAGTATTTATTCACATTATAATTTCACTAATGTTCGGCGGGCCATTTTAAATTGTCCTGCGGGCCGTAATTGGTCTGCGGGCCGCGGTTCGGGAATCCCCTGCTATAGATAAATGTAAGGGTGCGTCTACATAGTACGTTGAAACCAGAAGCGGAACCCTGACACCGAGCCACCATTCCACCGTACTTCACACATACGACGTATCGTCATTTATATACGAAATGCGCGTTGTGATAATTAACAAAAGCTAAACGACTGGTTTCGGAATACCCAAGAAGTATTAGAGTCATTCTGACCACAATAATTAGAAAAACGAGCTTCAGTATATTCGAAAACATTTTCTGGCATATTTGTACACATCGATTTGAGGCCTAGGTTTCGCTCGTACTTGGCGTCGCGTTCATGGGCACTCGGATTTGGCATTTAGATTTCACTCCAGTTTACAAATTTCATACGAGCGGACGCACCCTATAATGGCAACTTTTGTAAAATATTTGCTCCGAGCAGGTGTGTGTAGTGATGCCGAAAAATTTATTCAAAGGAGAAATTTGAAGCCTCTTACTTTCTGTACGGTAAAAAATTTATTTGGTACGATCTTTTTTCTTCGCGTAAACCTGGTTACAGATTGTTTATATTAATAATTATCGTGCACAAAAATAATTTTACTCTTTTTTTTTTTAATTTTCATCACTAGAGTATATGCTGGTGGGCAAACGTGTGATCTTCTAAAAGAACCAGACGTATTTCACAATCTAAAATTATTCAACGATGACGGAGACGACGGTATATTCACATGTAAAACTAAAGGATCGTACGTCGGTAAGTTTAAGGAATGACTACGAGAATAATACTTATAAAATGGCGCGTACCCAACATGATGCAATTCCAATACAACGTGTTTATATACTTGTAGGAGCTCAAAACGTTAGCATAATGTTAACGGACGATTTTGGAAGAAACGATATTGATATAAATCAAATGAAAACAAATGGAAAAGACCAAGTCTACAATTTTCAAACATACGCGGGTGAGTTTTATATCTCTTAACAAATGTTCTATGAGCAAGAATTTTAAAAAAGAATTCAAAGTTTCTACAATATCCGTCATCGATGTTCAATTTTCCAACACGCTTTTTTATGAAATATGCATTGTCGATAGGCATCTTCTAGTTTTCTTTCTGTAATTCAGAAGTACTATTGGAATTAATGTTTACATACAACAACAAAAAATTATTCATACAAATTAGGCGAAGCTTTGTTGACTAATCATTTTTGGACCTAAAACAGATTTTGTAAATGTTCACAGAAATCACTAGTGTCTCACCTAAAGTGGGCAGCACAGAGGGTGGAACACGCGTAACAATTCAAGGAGAGAATTTCGATGACACTGATGAACCAATCACAGTTCTCATTGGCGGTGAACCTTGTGACGTTGTTGAAGGAACAATGACCAGCGACAAAGTTGAATGTATATCAAGAATACCTGGACCAGAAAAGGATTACTATATAGGTTTGTGGTGATATGTTTTTCCAAGATTAACAAATCCTAACATACTGTATATGTATATGATGTACTAGCATATTTTTTCGGTACTTGAAGCATATTTTACTGAGATTGGGGACAAAGCTGTAATTGTATTTTTTTTATCTAATCGAATATTAGACTTCGTGAATTCACATCTTAGACGTATGCCAGCAGTCTGTTTAAAAAAATTGCAATTTTTAGGATCTCGGGGCGTCGTGTTGGAGACTTGGAATAAAACGACGGTAGATGATGAAATTACGCTTACGCTTCTCAATAATGCTTCAAATTACGAAGGAATGAAACTCGTAGATAATACTGCATGGAAATGGAATACAACAAAAGATAATTTTGTGGCGAGATACACAGGTTAAAATAATTTTGAAACTATTGGCAATTTAGGCTGAAATCCTTGGATTTTTGGGATCTACTGAAATCGCTCGAAAACTTATTGACAGCACGCTGTATCGCAGCAACTCGAAAGAAATGTGGATGATTGTTGGTAACGAGTCGTCTCTCTCTCGACTGAGAACTCAAATCTCGATCTTTGTGAGGATTGCTCATAACTCCAAGTTAACGAAGCTTTGTGAACAGTATTATTTTGCAAGAAGAAATAGGAATGCTATCAAAATCAATAAATTTATTCGAAAATTGTTCAAACATTGTTGTATAGATCTTATATTGAATCTTAATTCTGGATTCTATAGTACGTTTTGCAGCCACCAACCGCTTGTTGAAATCCACTGTTTACAATGAATTTATCTATTGTATTCAGGTGTTTTCGTAGCACCGCACACTGATCGTTATAAATTCAAGATTGCTTCTGACGACCACGGATCATTGTTCATGAATTGCGAAGGAAGCAAAGAAAATCTGGTATTTTATTTTCGAAAGGAATAATTACTAAATGTTTCTTTAATTGAATCTTTTTAGAAGTTGAGAGTGCCGTATTTGGCGGCTAGACTCGTGTGTTTGGATATATGTTATTTTGTTATATTCACTGTGCATTCATCTTGCCTTTATGTTTGATCCTTGATTGGGACATAATTCAATTAATGCTTTTGGCTTGCTCTAGATTGAAGCTCAAAATGTCTAAACACAACTTTTGTTAAAATTAATATTCTGATTCATTAGTTTTGTAGTTGGAGCTGTAATTTTTTAATTCTTGTTTTACAGACGAAAGTTGCTTATAGCAATTCAGCTACTTCATCTTTTAGTGGTCATGGCCAATCTTCGGATTGGATGCAACTGACGAAAGGTAGTTTTCATACCTCTCTTTCATTTTAGATTGTTTTTTGAACACTTTTGAAGAATAAAATTGATCAAATTTCAAAATACTTGATTAAAAATACAACTTCGTGTCATTATAGTGATCGTGTCAATAACAGCAATGTTTACTCAGGTCAACAATGTTACTTTGTGAGTACCAATCGTGAGTACGGAGGTGCAGCACATTTATATGTCGCTGTGTTAAGAGCTACAACAACACTGACAAAAACTCAATCCATTGACGCCAAAAACGAAGTTCAGATTATCGATTTCTCAGCAAAATTCCTGAAAGAAAAGCAGGTTTGATTTTCGTTGAAAATATATTCACGAATGAGAAATAATTAAACTTGATACTATCACCAAATTCTTCATTTTTCACGATAGATTTTATGAATTTTTATATTGGTTATTTTTAAGTTTAAAGCTGATGATCAATCATTATTATCAGTAAATATTTTTAAAAATTTCAATATGATTACTTTAATATTCCACTACTATACAATGTGAATTCTTAAAGACCAATATATAAATCAATTGTTGAAACTAGTTGGGCCACATGTTGGTTCCTGATGGCTTTGATAAAAAGATTTTATCCTAAAACTTTTGATTTTTACTTGTCAAAAGTTGTCTAGCTTATTAGAAAAAAATACTACAATGACAAACAAATATAACAAAAGCCATTTAACGCTATATCATTCAATTTAATTCAAGCCAAATCAAAATGGGACCGTGTTATTAGAGCAAGTATGTATATATGTGTGTTGTCGTTTAATTAACAGAGTCATGTAATAATTTTGTTGCTATATGTTACCCGGTATCTTTTCAAATCCTATATTTGTGGAAAGAACAATACTTAAATACAAAGGTATCGGTAAAATACTAAATGAAAACCCAGTTTATTGAAAAGATCGGTGAATACACGCGAAGACATCACCTGTGATGGCGCAATACACACACAAAACCAGCTCAATTCGGAGGGGGAAATTAGACCCGTGAGACTCAAGTGAAAATCATATTGAAATGTAAAAAAACTTCTGTACGCTTTTGTCATATTTGAGTATTGGTGGAATTTAAGTACTATTCAAAATCGATTGGTCGTGCAGTTGCGGAGAAAAGCAATTTTTCAGAATAAAAACTCTATTTGCAACAATAACAACAATTATGCAGATTGTTCCATGAGTCTAATTCTTGTCAAATGAGAATTGATATCGGCTGTACGACAGAGATAGTTATATTTCCAATTGGCCTGCCAATAACAGGCATCTGATGCTCAACTCCGTATGTAGTATTCGATCAAACGAAATAATATAGTGGTATATTGTCAAAGTCAAATATAGTGTAGTGCGACAGATTTCAACTAGATTTAATGAATGATGAATAAATATTATTTAACTGTTTTATCTGATTTTTTATCAGCAAAACCATACAACTATAATACAAGTAAGAAAGTGTTTGTATGTGTATGTAATCGTAATCGTATACCTAATTGTGAATATAGCTCAAAAATACAGAGCACATGGTTCAATCGTATACTGTAATACAACCTCTTTTAGCTAAATGTTATCAAAAACGGTGAAATTGTTCTAAGCAAGGCTATTTTTTTAATCATTTATTTTCCTGCCTTCAAGTAACCCCCAAAAAGCAATGTTCAAAAAGGTATTTGAAGCAGCGAATAATATTTCAGGTCCAATAACATAGAAATAAAATATTTAAGGGGGCGACTTGTTGTTTCAATTAGATATTGTTTCTTGTATTCCAACTGTATCTGTTGTTTCCTAACAATTTGGTTCGTTTTTGAATGTCGCTAACTCTAACATAAGTTTTCTTATTATACTCCGTTATCCTTTTAAGACTAGTCAGTGTTGAAAAGCAATTGATAAACTGAGTAAACATATGAAAAGGCATTCATATAATTGGGACACGTGTGGAATAAGTGCGAGACACGTAAGGCACGTGTTGGGAAAGTGGGAGAAGTATTGTGCAGGCCGGACACAGAGCAACTCAATATTATTGAGATACCCGGTATATTATCTGCGACAATCGTCAATTTGTATATCTCTCAAGAGACAGTTTACATTTACTAATATAATTGATAAATATTAAAAAAAATCATCTTTTTGTTGCAGAATATCAACTTCACCTCGTGGTCTAGGCAGGCCGGGGCTATTGAAGTTCAGGAAGTTACTGTTTCTCATTCTTGTTTCAATACTGGAACTTGTCAAAATATTGGTTACAGACTGATGTATGAAGGAGTCAAAACACTTTTCATTCAAGCAGATGTAAGTTTTCATTTTTCATTTGGATTTCGATTAAAAAAACGGTAATTGGGATAGATTTGAAATATTTTGTAGGATCCGAGAAAGTTTGAAAAATAGGAACAAATTATCAGAATATATAAGTGACAACCTAAAATCATAAGTAGAAATATAATAAAAGGGCTTATTACTCGTTGCTTGTGTATATTCTAGCAATCTTGAGATACTGGGGCATGAGATAGAATGTTTAGGTCGATAATAATTAGACAATCTGTTTTCAATCAACGCTTTTGATTAATTTTGATTGCGTGTTACTTTTTTTCATTACAGGCTTCTGCGTCATCTGTCCGAACCCATTTACTCAACATTTTTGCTCTGAAAGACGAAAACATCGCTGTGTCGGTTGCAACATCTAGTGGCCAGAGAAAATACACGGTTGAGTTCAGACAAAAAAGAGGTAAAAGAAAAAATGGTCTTTACTTATCGATCTTAAGATCGGTAAGTATATTGATAGGTATTTGTATGTATGTCTGTGTGTGTGTGTGTGTGTCTGTTAGATGAACGCGATATCTCACGAACGCGTGGTTGAATCTGCTCCAAATTTTGCATGTGCATGCACCTTACCTTGGGTTAATTATGTCGTATAATTAGCGAGATATTAACTAATTACCGATCTAAGATCGATAAGTCTTCGGTCTCCGACCGATATTCTCGTTGTTTTATTAGTTCGAATTTTTAGGACTGTATGTTCTAAGCCTTGTGATCTTCTTGATTTATGATAGAACACATTAATCTGAAATACTAATACTTCCGACTTGATTGATTGAAGGAGGAATTAATCGTATGGTTAACCACGGCCTCTCGTTGGCTGCTAGACAGTTAATCCTTCCCTATGCATACTCCTTGAGTTCGAAGAAGTTGTGCATTATCTTAGCACATGTATGTACTCGCGATCTATTGAAGGGTAGTTAGTCATGGGTGAGAAATTGTACTATTAACAATATCAACTCCCTATCTTTTCCTTGTTACAAAAACTTCTTCATGCAGGTGACTATGCTACCTTAGGCTATGAAAAATATCCGTCAAACGTTCAAGGATTATCTGTTTCTATCAGCGAGAAAACGAAGGGTGTTTCAGAAAGAAAGTCTTTCAAATTAAGACTTGGTGGAAGGTAAAGCTATGACAAACTTTTCTTTGGATTCTTCAAAATCTTTGCCGACTTTTATACGATTTTACATTTCTGCATGTTGTTACTTGTTTTCTGAGAATTCTGAGAAGTAGGGGTGAAGAATAGTTGCGCCAAGACAGAATAGTTGCGCCAAGACAAAAACATTTAAAATTGAATCAGTGATTTATAGGTGATAGCAGTGATAGCAGCACTAATATCAGCATATTCTATATTGGGGATGGCGAGGCACTGATCACTTTGTGGCTCATGCTTCATGGGGACTTGAATTGAATATCTATGACTCACCGTCACAAAAAAAAACAAGAAAAATATAATTTTTGACCTATCCATCAGAAATGTTCGCCACCTCTGATCTATATCGCCACAAATGTACCGACCTATGATGTTCCATCTATTTTTTGATTCTGACTTAATAAAATATAAATTGAAAGTAAATTACATTCACCACTCAAAATTCAAATGCAATCAAAATTGAATAATTCAACTGCCAAATGTGCTATATTTATATGCCGGTTTGAACAGAATGACCGCGGCCATTGCGGAAAATGCTGATGTTGAAGCTTTGGATACAGCACTAGAAGTGACAAGATCTGCCTATTGTCCTCCATTCCTTCTCCCCGATTTACGACAATCATCTGTCATTACAACTCGAGATTTTGAGACTGCAAAATATGGCGACCAATGGGGAAGTAGAAAGCAGGTATGTGTTGCAAAATAAACAATGAAAAAAGATGAGCGGTGGAACCACAGGAAACACCCATAATAAATAAACACCCATAATTATGGAATAATAGTGCATATTAAATTAATTAGGAATATAGAAAGACAAATAGTCCTTGTCAATATTTTCTGGAAATGATATCAAGTGTTCTTCAAATGATTCAGTTACAACCATTGGTTCAAATCAATATATGTATATCATATATTCGAGCCTATCAGTCGAATTACATTTTGCAATTTGAATCCCGGGTCTATGAATGAGAGAATTTACGGAAGAACACAATATTTTTGTTGCTTTATATCTGACAATTTCATTTAGGATTCCGAAGCGTTTTGTGGAACTACATCTCTAATGAATCCTGATATCATATATCGCGCAGGAAGAACGTCAGATGATCCTGAAACAAGACACAAAGCATTTGATGCCGTGCAAAATAGATGGGTATGGGACCTCCTGTAGTATGCGCACCAAGATGGCGCACAACCTGATATAATTAATTATAGCAGTGTCAAGACATATTTGCATTCTAAAACTCGGTTTGAATCCAAAGTCGAATTATTTTTTTAAATATCAGCCAAGAACACGGCGGCTTCTTGAATTAAAATTGCAGATGACGTCAATAATAAATCATGAAATAACCTTATAATATGTAGAATATATAGAATCAAATCCGTATTACCGGTGCTGTTATTTTGATACCTAACATTGTCGACGTTGGCAAGCAATGGCATGTTAAAATTTACAACATACCGTAACACAACAATAAATTAAACAAACACGACAGGTTTATATTATATAAAATCCTACATTTTCAAATTTGTATTTTACCACAAATTCAAAACAACCCATTTTGCAGTTATGTCTTGCTCACCGTGGTCGCATGTCGGATAGGATGGATCTCACAGGAACTTTCAGAGGAAATGGAAAAACTCAAACTACAACTCACATTGTGACGTCACCTCTAGTAACACACAATACAGAATGGAGATATTCATGCATAGATTTAATCTCAGAGGTTTGTAATTATAAATGCTATGTTATATTCCTCCGAAGTGATAATATTTGTTGTCCACACTACAACTTGAGTTACATTTTGACGTATTCCACCTACAAAAACTCTTTAGTTGGAATTGAATTCTGCAAGTTTACTCAAACATGCGTCGTTAGGTGTTTGAGTAAGATTATACATCGCTAAATGTGCAGAAAAAACATGGTATGTTATCACCACTTGAAATCAGATATATTTCTTCTTAATGATCCTGTTGAAATTATGTCTGTCTAAAACAGATTGAACAGTTTTTTTTTTAAACAGTTGAATGTCATGGTAAATTTACAAAATCAAACTAACATTTTACAGGCTCTTCATTCCCGTTCTGATCTAACATACATCGACGAAGTTACTTTGACCATGGTTAAATTCTACAGACATTCCAGAGATTATAATTATTGGTTGGATGCGATCACAATCGGAAGTTCTAAAACAACTGATGATCTGGAAGGTACGATATGCAGTAAAAGCGGACAACTATTTATTCTCAAACCAAGATTTTTTCTTAGTTTGCGTTTGATTCATTTCAACCAGTAATATAATTACCGGTTTTGTTATTTGGAAACACTATATAACGAATAATGCTTAAACTGAGATTAAGTGTAAACTTGATTTTTTTCTAATTGTATTCTAATTGTAAAGGATGTCGAAATTCAATTAATTCCATCCAAAAAGTTTTTGAGAGATTCGTGTTTTTGTGAACAATTACCTTCAATTTCGTAATGATATTCTATAATTTGTCAAATATAATCTTCTATAGTCGCAGCAAATGATATTCAGACATATTTTGTGATTGGAAACGTCATCAACATGACCATATTTTTTCTAAAATGAAATAAAAAAAATAAATTTTCACGCATTGAACCAAAGAATCAATCTTATCTAGCCCAGTTAGATTTTTACTACAATAACGATATAAACGAAATTTTGCTAATTAATTTTTCATTTGGTTATCAATGTATAATATTTAATATTTTTAGGCGTTCTTAGAGTTCGTACTCCTCCTGCTTTAGCGAATGGTGAACCACTGTCGAAAGTTACAATCAAAGAATCGACCGGAGATAGATCTTTCGAAATTGAGCTTGATACATATAACTGTGGAAACATGATTCCTCTCATATCGGTACATTTTGTCTCATCTACTGCATTTTCTTTATTAACACTACGTTTTTTTCTACTACATATTTTCTAAAATATTTACAGATAGCATTTATTTCTAATTCCGCTGCAACCAAAGACAAATTAACTCAAAGAGAAAGTAGTTGGGAAAGTGGAGTCAGTTTTATTGCCACAAGAATACAATCCGGAAGTTTTCCCATGTCCGGAAAATTTGATCTCACTGTGCATTTTCCTAATGGGAAATCTTACAATGTAACAGGTTTGAAAATTAAGAATTTGACTATTTATTGGTTTGGTAATTGGCACTGAAAAGAAAATTAGACAATTTTTAGTTTTTTGCAGTTCCTCTGTCGTTTAAAATCATAACTATCACAACTGGAACGCAAAGAACAGTATGTCAGACTGAAAGTTAATTTTGTTTATGAAATAATTCGTCCATCATTTCACTCATCCTGGTTCATACGTTGAGTGTGATCACCACAAAAGTTTAACAACCGGATTCCATGCCATTGCTCTCCATTGTAAAACCGGAACATGGGCGCAACCCAGAGGCCTCGATATTCACTACTTATAATTACATACGGTCGTAACCCTAAATTGAATATTTCGAGCCAAATTAGTCATTAAATTATAAAAAAGTAATTTATAAGTAGTAGTAAAGTATATATAATAAGAAATGATTGGAAAGATATTCTGTTCTAGAAATTCCGGTCGATCTACCTGTGACTAAATTTGAAGAGCTCCTCGAAAATGAGGTTCCTGGATTTGGTCAAGCGAATGTGTGGAGAGGAGGAAGTTGCCATGCTAGAGATTATGGAATTGAATGGCTGACTAACGGAGGGGATAAACCATTAATGGAGGTAATGCATCGCTTCTTCTAGATCGCCTTCTCGTAAAAATTCTACAATTTAACACAAAGTATGAAACATTTTATTAATACTTTCAAAGCACACCCTAGAAAATTAAGCAAATCTAAAATTGAGACTGAACTTTTTTGAAGCGTTTAAATAGATATTTTCCCTTATCTTTTTAATATATGTTTCTAGTTGATACAATTGAACAAAAATTATTTAATTAATTTTTTTAGTTACGAATGGAAGATATAGAAGGTGCATCTGATATCACCGGTAGAATATGGACCTCACAAGATGGCGGGATTTTCCACAACCCAATGACAGGAGATATGCTTAGAATCGCTTACGATAAACCTCAGGTTGGCGACAACAATATTATGCTTTTGAATTTGTCATTTTTGGTATTGTTCTGCAACACATTGTTTTTCACAACGAGATTAGTAAAACTATTTATTATTAGTTTGCTGAAATGTTTTAAATTTTTTTTTTCAAACAAAATTTTTCAGGTTGAAGTATTTATCAACGGGTATCCATCCAAATGTATCGCAAATTGTGAATTTACGACATCGTTGGATTCAACACCAATAGTTAATTCAATGTCTCCGTCGTCAGGTAACGTCGTCTGATATAAAATCTACCATCAATACTGTTGCACTACTTTTATTGGTTACCAGATATAAATATTTCTAAATCTGTGCCTGCAACAGTGCAGTACAATAATCTAAAATAAAATTATGCGTGTGCTATTGAAGTTTACATACATAAACGTATTTCCAGCTATGCCAATAAATTGCTAGTTAATAAACAGTCTTTTCTCCAAAACACATAACGGTTGCTAACAGAGTTATTTAAATATATATGTTATGGTTAAAAAGATATTGTAGATTATGAATAGTAAAACGTTCAAATATTCACAGGTTCTTCACATGCATCTACGTCAATCACAATTACTGGAACAAACTTAGCGGCAATATCTGGAGGAAATACCACAGTCAAAGTTAGCAAAGCGGATTGTTCTGTCACAACAAATACAGATACTCAAGTCGTTTGTGCTGTAAGGAAATTTTGAATATTTCTGTAATTACAAATATTCGCTCTAATTATACGACTACGTTGTCTTAGAAATTTTGATACCCATAAATGTAAGAATGAATATCATCCTATTTTCAGCTCGGAGATGGTGCTCTTGGAACATATGATGTAGTTCTTTCTGTTGGAGGTAAAGGTTTCGCCAAGAAACAAAATGAAAATGTGTCATTGGCATTTACCGTATCAGGAGGAGTGGGAACCATAAGCCCATCCAGTGGATTTTCTACTGGTAATTTATAGTTAATTCAATCAGGTTATATTTGTATAGTTGTACTATATCTGTAGCCCACCTTTGTACCTTTTCAATGGTACAATTCCAAGGTATACAATCGCTATTTAAAGCGATTACCCAGCGCGAATGAACACAGATGCACCTATCTGTTCTGTGAGATTTTCAGTGAAATTCAAACCCAATCTAGATCACGATCGATTATTCAGTCTTGAGATTCAGAACTTCTGTCGCGCAAACGGGGTCGGCATAATAAATATCATCACCATTTCATTCAAACGTCGCCAGAATGATATGTTGTACTAATGTCTAACAATAGCAATTCATTTCATATTGAATCATTTCACTGGGTAAGTTTATGGGACACGTATTGCTAAATTGTTGTTTTTGTAACGATTGTTGTTGTTGTTAAAAATGGGAGTGGTCATTTCATCTTCGACCTTAGCGTCTATATATATATTTGAGTCTTCTCTCCGTTATTACAGTACAGAAATTTTACCATATATTCAGGTGGAACTGATGTCAGTATCACAGGATACGGGTTTTCTGCAACAACCACATTTACATTCGCCAACAAACCTTGTGTTGTAAAAAGTGTAACCGCGGTTAAAGTTGTATGTACGACACCTAAAGCATCGGTATCGGTAACGGATGGTGAGTACAAAAAAATTGCAAATTTTGTGTTGGACTGGATAAAATATACCAGTGCGTTTCAAAGACTTGAGTAGTAAAAAATAAAAGTTTTGTTTCACAAAGAAATGTTTTATTGTTTTTTCCGATCTTGTGACATTTTTTGAGATGAATGGCTATATTTATTCAGTATTTATTCAATGTTCCGAGTAGAATTTATTCCTCTGTGCCTTTTAGTTTTGATTCTCTTTGTTTCACATACCTTGTGAATACTAGCAAATTATCCATAAATTACAAAATTGTATCGTACTATACCCATAGGCGGGGTTAGAACTCAATGTCAACAATTCGCTATGAATTATTCAAGAGTTTTGCTGATGTGCATCAAGCATTTTAGATCAATTAGTATAGTTATCTTCACTCTTGCTACAATATCATTTCGATATCAGATCAATAGTACAGAAGAACAGTCAATAATATGCGATAGTTATATTTAACGCCTAGTTAAGCGCCAATCCATTTATGTTTTCTTCAAATGTTTTTTGTCCATTTTTACAATTTTTTTTTTTACAGTAAAAATCACGGTACAAGATGGATCAGTTATTTTAGGATCACTCACCTATAAGTATGTAAATACGGACGCAATTGTTACCAGCATTTCACCTACAACCTCAACATTGACTGGTAATTATATATATATATACAGACATTAAACAAAGTACTTTAAATGCAATGCTTTTTAATTTTGCGAATACTTTCCCGAACAACTCTAAACAACATTCACTGGATAATGGTTTTGTCCAACTTTTATGTCGGAAAATTGTATTTCTTTCTAATAATGAAAAATAAAGTTGTATTTGCACTTAATTCCTAATAAAAACTATCATTTCAAAGTGAATAAATATAAAAAATGTAACTCGATATAATTAAATCTGCATTCTATACTCCAGGAGGTAGTAATCTAACAATAAGTGGAACCAACCTTGGTAGCAGCGCGGAAATGGTCACAGTTTTGATTGCTGGAAAATCGTGTACTGTTTCTGTATGGTCCTCGACGAAAATCACATGTACATTACCACATGCTCCACCCGGACAATATCAAGTCTTCGTGGTTATCAAAGGAAAAGGATATGCGGACACAAGGTAGGAATATCACGCTTTGTTGCTGAAATATAAATTGACCACTGCGTTAAGTTTTAATGGATGTTTCCCCGATCTTTAACCCAGAAAAATATTTTTTTTGCTATCGGAAAAAATTGGCTGTTTTTTAATGAGGTAGCAAAGTTGCAGTTGCATAGAAAATAAATATACTCTTAAATTTATTTGTGTGACAGATTTGCTTCACGGTTATTTAAAAATTCTGAATCTCCACAAAATTTATATGAATTGTTAATATATTTTTACAGTGTTAACAGCATTCCTCCAGTGAATTACAAACTAGAAGTTACCAGTATGTCGCCAAATACAGGATCAAACAGTGGTGGAACAAAAGTAACTATAAATGGTAATGGATTCACTAACGAGATTACAACAGAGGTAAATAAATAACTGAAAATTCTCCACGAGATACACACTAAATATTATACTTGGTATTATAATTGCATAATCGGGTCAAAATGGATGAAGATTATCCGTGGAAGATTACAAATTTAATACTTTCATGTCACGCTCTCAAAATACCTCCAATCGTTTAAATTCCGAAATGCACGCGGTATTATATTTCAAAAAGTAGAAAAATTCTCGTTTCACATTGTGTACTCGAGTTATTACACTTTTGATTGTTGGGGGTGGACGTTAGATCGGGACCCTGTGTTTTGCCCCTCGATGCCAACAGAGTAGAGTACAACAGTCACCAGGTTGAAGAATGTTGATTGTCATCGTAGCCATTGCATCATATACCTACAACAAAATACTATTGTGTTAAATTTCCTGGGATTTAACTTGATTTCAGGCTTACATAAACCAATATCTGTTATTTTGGTCATGGTATTCAATATGTCTATTTTTTGTAACCAGGTGAAACTTGGAGATTCGATTTGTAAAATTGAATCTATATCTGGAACTGAGATTGTTTGTACGTCTGGACGTACGACTAAAACATACGTTGTTACGAATAATGGAACGCATGAAAGTTAGTAATTTTAACTATACTTTTTTTAATGGTTCTTGTACCTCCGGACAAGAATAAACTTTCTATTTTACTACTTATCATAGGTACTATTCAATTAATATTAACTTCAACTTAGGTTTGGGTCCAGGCTTCTCATGGGATCCTATGACGCTTGATATAAATGTTGGAGACACCGTAACCTGGAAATGGAAAATTGATGGAGCGCCAGGTGGATGGGAATATGGTGCCAGAGTTTTCACCACATCGTCAGCTGAAAGCGATGAATATGACGGAGTAACATTTGAATCAAATGCGGCCAAAAGTGCTGAAGGTAATTTGATTGCTTTTTTTGAATCTATTATGAAAATAAGAAAGTGAGTATGGATTTTATTCAAATTGTAACAATTTGAAATCGTGTGTAGGCCGGGACAAAATACATGGAAAGCAAAAAAAGGGTGGACGGTTAAATAATCAAGTAAGATGTTTTGAAAAAAAATAAATTTGAAATGTGTCATTTACATTGTCAATAAAAAAATGGGCATAAATGCTGAGAGCTCATTTGTCAACAAAACATCACATGATCAGCTGCTATATAATTAATTATTAAAGCCATGTTGTGACATTTGCTCATTTACAAACGAAAATAATTGATTCATAATTAGACTAAAGTCAATAAATGTAGTTCTAAAATGAGCATAAATCACCATGTTTCACATAAAATAACATCTTAAGTGAACAGCAAACAGAGCCGTTTTATGAAAGATTAGTTTTATTTTTAATGGGTAAAGTCGCCCTAACGTCTGTTTACATTTTATTGCTGCTGTAACTTAATTCCTTGAGATTGTGAATACGCATACGGTATGTAACTTGAAACATTTCAGAAATTTTAAAATGTTGTTTTCCCGCCTGGAAAGGTTTAGATGTACCCTCAAAATATAGCCACGTATTGTTATCCTTGGGCCACTCGGGAAAAGTAGATAATTGACAGTTTTTATGCAGGATCATTATTTTTATTCATGCAGGATCTTTCAGTTACACATTCAACAATGAAGGGAAGTTTTATTTATCAAGTGGAAAAGTTGATCATGATTTATGGGGAACCGTCATCATGAAAGGATCAGTTAACGTCATGTCGCCAAAATCTTCAGACAATAAATTGAGCGTGAAAGTATCAAACCACGAGGCAAATTATTTGGAAGGTCAGTTGATAAATTTTCTCTACATGAATAAATTACGGAAAATATTAGGGGCAATAATTCTAAACATAATCAGAAATGTTTTAAATAGCACTGTTGTTATAGTCATATTGATATTATTTTTCAAATCAAACTAGTTTATTAGCACGTAGCAACATAGAGGCGTGTCGATTCGTCTACACAAAAATCACAATCCTGTCGTGAAATAGAAAAATTTGAAAACAGCGATTTCGCATTCATAATGCTCTTTTCATCTTTTCAGTCAAAAGAAAAAAACGAGCAGCTTCTTCGTGCAGTGGTGAAGTAACATCAATAAGCGGATGCACACCTACCTCGAGTACTTCGAAATTTTCGTTGACCACAGATCCTTGTTATACTCCCACTATAACATCAGTTTCTCCCAACAACGGAACAACAGACAACACTATTACAATAAAAGGTTGTGCGACTTTTAACCGTAGCTATATTGTGTATCGGTGGTTATTACTTATCGATCTTGATCGGCACATATATATTTGTCTGTTTGTTTTCTCGTTTGTTTGTTTGTATGTCTGTCTGTTAGACACTTTCGTATGTTACGCGATATCTCACGAAATCGAGGTTGAATCTGCTCCAAATTTGCATGTGCATCCATCATATCTCGGACCAGAAGCCTATTAATTTTGGATGAATTATTTCAAAAAAATTTTCGGGAGATCGATAAGTCAGCGGTCTCCGATCGATATCTCTTTTGTTCATTGCCAAGTTACCTAGAGTAAATTGTTTAGGAAGTACTATACAAATTGGATATACTTGCTTTAATTGTTCAATCTCTAAAATATTTATTGGATTTGTAGGTACGGGATTTGGTACTGAAAACTGCGCGAACAAGGTTTTAATAGCAAGTGGATATCCTGATGAATATGAATGTGAAATGATATCATCAACTTCAACAACAATAAAATGCAAACCAAAACCTAGCGGCAACACATCCATTAATGTGGCTTATCATGTAAGTAAATTTTTGAACAATAGATTTTAAATATTAGGTATTTGATGACACTGCTGCAGTCAAATTATTCAAATTCGCTCGTTTTTAGGACGGAAAAAGGTTTTAGACTAAGTTGCTATGAAACTTCAGAGTTGAAATTTTGTCTTTTTGAAGGAATTGGGTCTGCGAGTTGAGAAAACGTCGTATTTATATTTGATAGAAACAAGATCAGGAAAAACTATACACACTTGCATGGGAATTACATGACTGTCAAAACTCAAATAACCTTGTCATTACGCTCTATTTTTCTAAAATTAATAACAAAAAAGATACTGCCTATTATCTGGAATTCACATTAACGAGAAATATGTTTTCCATAATATGGTAACAGCTTCCATAATAGAGTAACTTTGCCATCAAATATAACTTTCTCAATTTGTATTTGGTTTAGCAGATTTCGCCGTCAGCAAGCTATGAAATTCTTAGCATGTTGTCGACATATATAAACTAAATGTGTTTTTATAAGGATGCCAAAAACAAGACGAAATCCCTTTAATACCACTGCATAATTTTGATGAACAATCAAATTTTATACTTCATGTTTCCATACCATAGGTAAAAGTAAACGTACAAAGTCTTGGAGATACGATTTCAACAATCAAATCAGACTCACACAGAAGATTCACTCTACTTCCAAGTGTGAAGTCAGTTTCTCCAATTTCTGGTTCCCTCGGCGGCGGTGCATTGGTCAATATTGAAGGTATGTTTTCTTATCCGTTTTCAATATTTTTTAATGGTTTTGTTCTGAAAACATCATTTTCGATTTCATTGAAAGTTTAGAATTCTTGTTCAGCGCATTACAACGCACATTCAATTAGAAATGAAGCAATCTCACATTTAAAGAAATTCCTGAACGATTTCTGAAATGCCTTGAAATAATGATAAAGATTTTAGAATGACAGGCTCAAACAAATGACTCGAAGCAGTTTAATTCAATATATCCATAAAAACAGCTCACTGGAAAAGAATTGTACTTAATTGAAGTTCTTGACATTGTATTTCAGGTTCAGGATTTTCAACTCAAGCTAGTCAGATGATTGTAATGTTTGGTCAATATAATTGCATTGTACAAACCTCTTCCTATTTCTCAATCCAATGTCTGAGTCCGATATCTTCAGTCGGAACAAAAGTCGAAGTTACTGTAACTATTAGGTATGATGTTCACTATATTATTATTATACATCGATTATAAGACTGAGTGAAAAAACATGTATTTTTATTTTAAAAACTCTCTTCAAATTGAGTAAATACACTTTTTATTATTGTAGAGCGCCTATAATCAAACAAGTATTTAATACGTAAGTTTATCGACACAAAGATTTGTATTGAGCTATCCCCCTGATGGTGTTCAACAATTCTTCAATGCAGTTCATAACTTCAATTCGATGATCAAAGACAACGATCTTGGTTTAATATATATTTCCTCTGAATTTAATAAAAAAGTGAATTATCAAAATAAAATAATAAAGTAAAACTAAACGTATATCGTAGTGGACAAACTGCTGAATGCGTCGGAACATGTGAGTTTGAATACAAAAATAGCCTCACACCCACAATCACAGCAATTAACCCAACAAGTGTAACTGCGTCCGATACTGAATTAGTTTTTGATGGATCTTCTTTCAACTCGGACAATTCGAAAGTTCATGTGAAAATCGGTAAGTATTATTACCTAGAATTGAAGTATATATTTGTGTTGGTAGAACAATATCTGCCCTGTCTCCGATGGTTCCTTTTGGCATGTTCTAGGTAAAGCTATAACCCAAGAGTCGGTCTGTCACAGACCAAAAGCCATATTTGGTAGTTGTCGAGTATGGGCCGTATGTACGGCCATAGATTTTATATGAAAGTCTCAACTAGGAAGGAAATTCATTATTTGACCATCTGTCGTGCCAGTCACACCACGTTGTCTTCATTAATCAATAACCTTCTAAAATAGAGTAATCTTATAAAAACCTATAATTGTTTAGGATCTGAAACCTGTAACGTAACCTCTTCAACATCATCTAAAATAAAATGCAACATGGCCGAACTACCAGCTGGCAATCACGCAATATCTGTAAGTATAGATGGAAAAGGAAAAGCAAAACTTTCTGGAGTTCCAGCAACCATTTCGAGGTAAGATATGACAAATTTGTCCATTATTTTGGTGGTGTTGTCTCCTACCATTTTTCCTTTTTCTCAAACCTTTTTCTCTTTTTCAACAACTTCTCTCTTTTTTGTAATTTGCATGCAAATGCCATAGAATCTATAGATGGTAAGCGAATATGTATCACAACGCAACAAAACATGACACAATTTATCAATATCTTATATCCGACCTAAAATACTCTCATGTACAACAGACTATTACGATAGATATTCTGCTTTTTCTCAGCTATATTCAATCAAATGATTCTGGCATGAAAGTTAGATTATAGCTTTCAATTAACCCTTTTTCATATTTAAGTCCTCCTTTGATCACATCCATGACACCATTGAACGGCAGTAAAGCGGGTGGCACAATGTTAACTTTTGTTGGTAACGGATTCAATTCTGATGTTGTTAGTGTAAAACTTTCAAACAAAGTGTGTGAAATCAACAAAGCAACGTTAACAAACTTCTGGGTAAGATATTTTGTTTCAAGAATTCATTTAAAACTGCTTGGACACATTATATACCTTTTTTCTGACTAGTAATGAAGACATACCATGTTTGTTTGTTCTTTACATGTTTTAGCATTGTATTTCAAAAATTTGAATAGCAAAACAGTGCTATTACTATGTAAAATATCATTTGGTGTTCCCCATTTATGTTAGTCTTTGTTTTAAATTTTTGAAAATATGAAATTTTAATTAATGTCTTCCGACTTAACAAATGAAAACTATTGAATATGTATGCTATATATATTTATTAATAGATGGAATGCGAAACTCCTGTGCTCAGCGGATCAAGAACTCGCACAGTGGTGGTAACATCGAATGGTCAAACATATTCGAGTCTACAGTTTGAATATCATAACGATGTGACTCCATCACTAACTTCTATTTCTCCTAGCTCCGGTAAGTGATTCACTGATCTTTGCTTTGAAATATATAGGAGGAACAGTTATGCTCAAAAAACTACAAAATTACCATAATATTCATATATTTTGTAACTGTCTCCTGGCGTGAACTGATCTATTAGTTGAAAATATGGGAGAGTAAGCCAACGTAATTCTTTGTAACTCATTACAATTTTCAAATGTACTAAAAGGCGATCCTGGAGATCAAGTAAAAATTAATGGAACAAAGCTGGAACCAAACAATACGAAAATATACGTAGGAACCGCTGAATGTACTAATGTTGTGGGAACTGAAACTTCGGTAAGGATCTTTGCAATAGTATTTATTTTGGCGTTAACATAATTTAACAACTTATTGTATGATACTTATAAAATATCTGCTTCCTACAGGCAGTGTAAAGTGTGCTTTTGAATTCCATCTTAAATTTTTACAGATAACAAGCTATGGATTTTTTTTAAACTTCAGGTAACTTGTGTACTGGGTGAACATGTCGGCGGGACTTATTCTGTTACTGCTAAGATTGGAATTTTGGGAAATGCAACGTCATCACTTACGTTCAATTACACTTTTTCGATCTCCAGTGTAACTCCAGAACGAGGTTGTGTTATATGTCTAATTTGCCGTTTTCTTCCATAATATAAGTTAAGGTTAATTAAACTATTCAGATATTAGTCATCCGAGCGTCTCGCAGCGGTCATTTGCAATGATTATGACCAATTTTTACGCCAGTTTTTGCGACTGTGTTTCTAACCAACCACTATGAAAGCTATATTTTAAGTAGTTATTTATGGCAATTGTTGAGATCCCACACAGTCCCACCGCACTTCTCAGTAACATCTTTCGTGAATTGTAATATAAAATCATTACTCAAATTTCTACAAGAAAAATAGAATTTTTCAGTTGATAAGAACATGTATTCATTGATTCACTCCTGACATGAAAGACAATTAAAAAAAATTAGAATTTTTTTATTTTTTTATTGGTAAATATTGAAAAGTATTTTCTATTCGACAGGGAGCTTCGCCGGCGGAGATATTTTAACTGTGTCAGGTCGAGGATTCAGCAGTATGACTGAACTTCAAATTTGCAACAGCACATGTGTACATAACGATGATATGCCAGGAACAAGCGCGAGTAGTGATCATATCTTATGTAAATTAGCAAGTGGTAAGTTATAATTTTCCTTTCTAACTGAGCTTAACCACTGGTTTTTCAAATAGAAGTTTTGTGTAGTTAGTCCATATATTGACATATGAAATTGAAAACAGAATAGCGGTCACTGAGAATTAAAAACGTTTATTGCGTATTCGCAGAGTCATTCGTACATGTATATTCATGATATAATTCCCGTTGGTTTCCTGTGTGCCAGACATAATACATATTTTAAACATTTTGTAATGTCTCTAAACTATTTTCGTCATTGGCGTATTTTGCAATGAGATCTTTTTATTGATATTGAAAGAGTTCGAGTTTAATCTATATGCTTTTGTGAGAAATATTTTATTCAATAAACGAAGCATACTTGTTGTTCCTACACCGCTAAACATATAAATCTACTTTTATCACAGATCCTGACCCCAAAACTGACTCGGACAAAGTATGTGATATATCTGCTACTGTAGATGGTCAATCAGCAACCGGGGCAAGCCTCTACACGTTTGCAACAGATAAAACCCCTAGAGTAACAGCAGTATCTCCCACCAGGGGTGGAACGCAAGGAGGCACAAACATAACAATCACCGGTACTTTGTTCGACTCTGATCCATCCAAGGTAACTGAAAATATTTTGACATTTATGAATGGAATTGTTAAAACTTACCAAGTACGATGGTTTGGTGCATGGTTAAAACGTTAGGCTTAACTGCGTTGGAATTGCAGGTCATACATTTGCAGTTCAAATCCCATTGGAATCGAAAATATTGCTGTCCTTAAAAATAATAGTAGCTTATAACATATCGTTAGATATCAGTGGTTTATTGTCCATAGTCTTGTTCAGAGCAAATGAGCGTCTTAAAAAAATTTAATTTTTTGCACATTTTTCAGTTTATGTCTGTGTTTTTTTTCATCGTTCAAATAACAAATTGTTGGCGCTTACGTAAATCACAAAATAAATTTGTGGGATATATGTTGTTGTTTTATTTTAACATATATTCATAGTATAAAAGTTCAGAAATTCTCCATTTTACTTATTATGTACCCAAACAGGTTGATGTAACGATTGGAGGAGTCTCATGTACGGTAACGAGTTCATCTAGTACTGAAATTAAATGTACAACCAATGCGAGAGGAAAATCATTAAAAGCCATTGTTGAAGTTACAATTAGTGGAAAAGGGAAAGCTCTCAACAATGATGTAGAATTTTACTATGTTGGTATGTAAAGACAGTCGTATTTTTTACACACTTGTTTTTAGTGGAAGGTTCGTTGTGACGAGCAATAAGATCGCGAACGATGATTACAGAGTAGGAGTGAGAGGTATATATAGTAAGGGAAAAATATTGAAAATGTTTGATATGTGGATGCGTAGGCCCTCGTAGGCCAGTAGTTTAGTTCAAACGTTTCGCTGTTAAATATTACTGTAGCATAGCGTACATCTTAAACTATTTCATAAAAATGTCAAATATATATTTATACAAACTAGTCTCTATTTTTTATTCCCAGATGTCTGGTCATCCAAATGGACATGGGGTGGGCAGGATCCTCCTGTAGCGGGTGATTTTGTTGTTGTTCCATCCGGACAGACACTCGTTATGGACGTGGATACCCCAGTATTGAAGATGCTTCTGATTATGGGGGGCGTAGTTATATTCGACGAAAAAGACATCCACGTGCAAACTGAAAATATATTAATAACTGATGGAGGCGTGTTACAAGTATGATTGGCATTTGAGTTACTGTAATATTTCTTTTTACAAACCATCTCGGGGGATAGATAGATATTGGTTACAAAATTCAGTGACATTCACAATTTAGTGTCGTGCTGGTTGGTATGACTCTGAAAATAAGTTCGATACTGCTTAGAAAAGAATGGAAAAATCCGATTTTTATCTACAGTATTGTTTTCGTTATAATTTTCCACTCCACGTGAACTATTTTTTCGCCGAGTTCATATTTTTTCGTCAATTGACAATTTATTGTAACTACCGTATATGTTGACATATTTAGTCTTATATTATTCACGCAGGTGAATATATGAAATATACAAAAAAAATTATACATAATTCCCTCATATACACAACAGCTATTAATAAGTTTGAATAGATTCAAATCTCAAAACTAACAACTTAAATATTAGATTGGAACTGAAGAAAAACCGTTTCAACGCAAAGCTCGCATCACATTACATGGTCATCTGAGATCTCCAGAATTACCAATTTATGGAACAAAAACGATCGGAGTTAGGAATGGAACTTTAGATTTACACGGAAAGTTAGTTGAATTTTGTTATTTTTAATGCTATCAAAGAAAAACTACAAACACTCAATATGCTCAGGCCTTCATACTCAAAAGTTTGTCGCACGAAATTTTCAGTTTTCGACATGTCTTACTTATTTTAATACTATTTGATTGAAATGTGAGAGGTATTTTTTCATTATCAAAATACTCCTGCATAAACAATCCCCCACTTGGTTGTGATATTTTTGCGTCATTCTAAGATAAATCATATATATATATATATGCATAAACTCCATTATATATAGATATATTGTACAAAGTCCAATACGAATACTGTACTACCTTATACTATAAACAAGTAAAATGAACCAAGTTTACTCTACTTTTCTTTATTTAGTAGCCATGACTCTCTTTTAAAGTTTTCATTCACGAAAATTGGTCTAAAAAAGATCGCCATAATCGTTGATGTTGATGAATGTATTTGCAAGTAAATATGTGCAAATAGTCCACACAATGTTTTATCGTAGATGATATTAAATTATTTTAAAAATGATTAAAATTAAAACGTTTATTTAATCATTGTTTTACATTTATTAATCCTGGTTATTCCAAAATTTTGAATGCCTCTTTTAAGAAGCGTTAAACATCTTTTTTTCGATTAATAACTAAATTCTGCAATCCACAGGCACGTACCAATTACATGGACACATCTATCAGAAACAGCAAATGCTGGAAGTTCAACTATAAAATTAAAACAAGCTGTGACTTGGGAAGCCGGAGATGAAATAGCAATTGCTAGTACCGGTAAGATATTTTTGGATTGAAATAGGTCAAACCCATGTTAGGTCCTTTTTTATTACTTAACAATAAATTAAATTTATGCAGGTGACCGGCATAGTCAGAGAGAAAACGAACAGAAAACTATTAAATCTATTGCTGTAGATAAGAAGACAATAACATTAACTGAACCACTGGAGTACACTCACATATCAGCTTCGGAAACATTCGACGGTATCATTATTTTATTATCTAGTTTAGATAGTGAAAGCAAAAAAGTATCTATTCATAATATAAACGATATCTCTAAGCTTTACCCCAGAGTGTTATTACCACGTTCTGGATTTTGACTGCACCGCAAGTCAGTCGTTAAAATCCACCAAGTAGTACTTCACTGAAGCCCCACGTTTCCCAACCGGAGAGAAATTCCTCGCGAGAAATTTTGTTGTTTGTTTTGTTGTATATCTGAGTCTAGATAGAACAACAATATCTTTATTACGAACCAAAACCATGTCACGTCAAAGAATGAGTAGTTTATTACTTTGTTTGTTCTGACAATATTTTCACCGTGTACTATAGGTGTTACCGTTGAAACTCGAGCTGAAGTTGGACTACTAACAAGAAACATTGTAATCGAAGGGTCGAAGCATATGGAATGGGCAAAAGATGTTATACCTAAATGTGATGCTGGATTCAATACAGGAGAATTTGCAACTCAAACATGCTTCCAGGTTTGGGATTCAGTTATGTTAAAATGACCTAATTCAGTTGGATTTGTTCGTAATAAAATATACAAACTGAATAAATGACTAAACATAATTAGTATAAAATTCGGAGAAATATTCGTAATATACTATTATATTATTCTAAAACTCATTGGATAAATTTCATTGTCAACATTTTCAAATGCTCCAAATTGAAATTGTAACTCAACTCGATTTTTAACAATAAAATGTCTGTTAAATAATGGAAAATTGCTTAGTTAGAGAAAAGAATTCAAATTCATACAGCGACATGGAGAAATATCTCATATATACTTAGAAAATCAGTTTTCGATTTTAATAGCTCCTAAAATTTTTTGAATTTGGCAGAAAACAACGGGATTTCAGTGTGGTTGACAATTTGTAGTTTGAGTAAAATCTTGTAACTTCAATTATAAAAATCAATAATTATCTCGCTTGTAGATTTTTCAGCCTTTTTTCAGTTTTATAAACAATTATACACTTTTATTGCAACCCATTTTGTTAATCCGACTATTAAACTTGTCAGACATAAATGTTCACATAGAAACTAATATATTATAAATAATTACTATCAGGGAAGATTTGGGGAGGAAGAGGGTTCTGACCAGTTTGGTGCACAAATCATGATTCACCATCGTTCACCTGATCTTGACATTGCTCGTGCGAGAATCGAGTATGTAGAATTAAGACACATGGGACAAGCTTTCAGACTTGGAAGATATCCGATACATTTCCATATGCTTGGTGATGTATCTTACAGAAATTATGTCAGGGGATGCGCAATTCATAAAACGTTTAATCGGTAAGTACATTTTCTGATACCATTCGTTTGTTTGATTGATATTTACTATCCAACATCTTTACCCATGTACACTTTATTGCTCCATCGACATCTGGAAATTAAAATACAGCAAGACAAGAAAATATTTGTACGTTTTTGCAGCCCATATTTGATCGAATAGCAAATACTATCTATTTGTGTTGCACATTTTGGATAATGTACATGTTCGCTTAGAGTCTCCATTGGGTCAATGAACGCCCTGAATTATTAGCTAGGACAGGCCTATCAAAGTAAAATTAAATCCTGATAGCGCCATGGTAACGCTTTCTCTAATTGTATGCATATGGTTGCATCTCTTTCAATTATTTAGTCAATTTCTAATGTTTCCGATCTGTAATAATCGCCGAAAGTTATCCTTCAATCAATTGTTTTATCTAAAGCTGGTACAGAAACTACCGTCAATGTTTCAAACTCTTTTTTTTTTCATTGAACAGAGGGATCACCATTCACAAAACACATCATCTACTTATCGAACATAATGTTCTATTCGATACAATGGGAGGAACCATTTTCATTGAAGATGGAATAGAACACGGGAATAAAATTGAATACAACTTAGTAGTGTTTTGCAGGCAAAGTACTTCTTTACAGAATGATGATATCACACCCGCAGCATTCTGGGTAACAAACCCCAACAACACTCTTCGACACAACGCAGCAGCAGGTTACTCCATTGTATTACCTTGATAAAAGTTTAGAAAATGATATATGATCGAAATAATTCATAAATTATCTCCACAAAAATTCATAAAGTATTTTGTTATCTGTATTCACCACCAGTTTCGCTGCGACTGCGATGAATGTTTTTCTTGATTTTCTATCCGATATCCAAAATATACTTAGCGTACAGTTGAATGAAACAGAATTTTTCGTTTGTTAGACATCGTATCTTAGTTTCAAAATAACTTGGAGTAGAAATAGGAGCAATTAGGACTAAAATTAGAAAGATATTTGTTATGACTGGGGCTGGGAATGGTTAACCGGTTAATCGTTTGACAATGATAAATTCAGAATCAGTTTTCGGTTGAAATATATTGTTCACGATTTTATTGCAAAATCGTATATTCAATGTCATCCAACAAGTGCGCAGCTGGTGCTATTTTTATTAATGATATCTCAGAGTGGAATTTGCATGTCGAACACTGGAAATTTGTCACATAAATGACAATAACGGATTCGGGTTTTACGAAAATACTTCCATATGTTCGAAGTACGCTGCATAGCTCTTGCAGCAGAGCGATCATGATACTGTCTCCATTCGTGAATAATTTTGAGCGATACCGGGTTAAGATCATCCAAAATTGCTTTGTAACCGTTAGGACGTAACAAGCTAAAATTATAAATTATTATGCCAAACTGCGGTTTACCGGTTAATCTTACCCGGTTAACGGTTAAAGTGTTTTCCCTAAAATTCCAAGCCCTAGCTATGACCCATTCGCCAAGAATTATATCTGATCGTCTTTTTACTACTTTTATAGGTGGAACTCATTTCGGCTTCTGGTACAGAATTCATCAACATCCAGACGGACCTTCTTTTGATCCTAACATATGTCAACAATTACACCCAATGCAGGAATTTGCAAATAACACTGTTCACAGCCAAGGATGGTTTGGTCTCTGGGTGTTCAAGGTAAAATGTTTTTACAGTCTTTGCAAAACCAAGTGGGTGGTCATCGGTGGTCATTTGAGATACAATATCTTTTGGGAATAATTAGCTTTAAGCAGTCGCACCAAGCAGAGTCAAATCATCCGAAGTTCCCCGGTTTTAGAGTACGGTTTCACAATATGACAAACTAGTAACACTCATGGAAAACACCCTAAACTTCAACACCACACAATAGTTTCAGAGATGTAGAAAAGTTTATAATACACCATTTAGACATGGATTAAATGAGATAAAATACATAGAAACGAGACAATAAATAATTGATGGGTATATTTTTTCAAGGCATATACTCCAAAAGCTGATGGTTCATGTGGATCAACTGAACCTAATGTTGTGAAGTATGACTCATTTACGGTTTGGAACTGCGAGAAAGGTGCCGAACTTGTGAATGTTGGAGCTATTCAGGTGCTTATCATTACTTTTAGTTTTCTTGATTAGGTCTAAAACCTAAATGTTTTGAAATTTGATGTCAGTGCTTCAGTAGCTATATTTTGATAAAGTTTTTATGAAATGTGGAAAATTTTTTTAAAGCCTTGTTTTATTATAACGTTAAAATAAAGTAAATGTATGTCAAAGAGAATTTAGTCAAGCGACGTTTGAGGCAGAATAATTTAAAAAATCAAAATAATCTTTAAAATGGAAAAAATACTGTCTAGAATGGTGGACGAGAGGCGCTATTTTCACGATTTGATTGGGCCGCCTATCGACTACATACGGGATAAATACTGAAATCTTATTTTTAAATGTGTTTTGTTTTATTATGCCCCTTTAATACGTTGCACAGCCATGAAACCAAACCTAAAAAATGAACAAAATTACCTTTTATCATCAGTTTCACAACTTCATCATGGCAGCCAACGAGAAAGCTGGAATTGAAACAAAGCTTGTTGTTGACAAACACGTAAAATGGGGCCAAGTTGGAACATACGATTCTTTCGTTATTGCTAGACTATCTGCAATAACCACAGGTATTCGAAATAATATATTTGAATCAATCAAATACAAAAGAAATTCGTATGCAAATTTTGCACATTTTATGCCTAAAATCTTTTTCAGAATGATAGATTATTTTTTTTTTAATTTTTTTTACTTCGATTTTATCACCCTTATAAGTTAACAAAATAAAAAGTATTCCACTTCATGTTAGAAGTAGATAAACTTACGCTTCACTCCAGGTTCAAGTTTGGTTTTGGAGTAATATGGGTTGGCCCACTGCTTGCTACCTTCACTAATCATGTCCATTCATCAGGAATAATTAAAAAGTAGTCAGCAGTATTATATCATCGTTGCGATCTCATATTTTTGCTGTTAAGGTGGTTCTACCAAACGTGGAATTATCCTGCCTTTCACGGAAGGGTACGAAGTTAACAACACAAAATTTATTAACTTTGATGAGTCTGGAACTGCAGCTATTGGAGTAACTTCTATTGACGGAACATGTAGTGTTCTATGTGGTGGATGGGAAGCAAGATTCTCACAAATTTCGTTTCAAAATTCTCCAAACAAGGCGGCCTTCAGGTTGATAATTATGTTATAAATAATGATCTATAAATACAGTTTTATTGGTAGTGTGCTAGAGTGACTAGACTATCTGCAATAACCAAAGGTACTTGGAATAATTTATTTAAACAATTGAATACAAACGCGATTCGTATGCAAATTTTTCACATTTTTTTTTGCCTAAAATCGTTTCATGTTTTCAAAATATTAGAATAATTTTTTTTACTAAATAAACTCCAAAAAGACCTGTAAGCTTGTATCATACACGGTTGCATGTGTCAATTAATTTTGGACTCACTAAAAATGAAACCAAAGGTAAAAAATCTAAAACGTACCATGCCAAACAAGTTTTAAACATCGTACACTCTGTCAAATTAGGGCAGGTATTCATCAAGGATCTTTACGAATTTTCATTTGGAGCAAATCTTCAAGCATCTGAAAAGCTCCATAGTTTAATGGTCGCAATGACCTGCAAATCTTTCCAACACTTTTGTTCAAACAGTCTTCAATGTGATTTAGAAATATAAATATATGAATATGATCATTGAAAATTTTTTTTTTGCAGGTGGGAACATGAGGTTATTCTTCGAGATCGAGATGGTACATTGTCTGGAACAGGGAAGCACTCAGTGATCACTCCTTACAATCCTACAATATCAAAAACAAGTTGCCCAGAAATTGGTGGATTTAACATCGGAGAATTTCCAGGTAAACTTTACATTATTTCTTATGTATTTTTATACTTTTGAATTAGAGACAACTTTATCATTTTGGTCTTTTTTTAGGTGTTATTTGTGATGGTTCAGTTAAATTTCATCGATTATCTTTCAATACCGTTAATCCAACTTCACTTGAAGCAAAATATGTAAAATTCACGAACGAATATGGTGTGACGTATATCCCATTTGCGTGAGTAGCTTTGTACGATATGTTTCAAATTAATTCCGTTTCTAGATATCCATTTCCTATTCATTTCCAGAGAATTTGCTCCAATAAAAGTCACACGCATTCACCCAGAAGTGAAAGAGACTCGTGTACACGAGAAAAATGTTACGAACCGCTACTGAAATGCCAAGAGCTAAATTGGAATATTACCAATTTTTCGATTGTTTTTATTTGTACAGCCCTTTTTATAATGACAGCTTGATTTGTTTATTTTCTATAAATAGTATATAAATTTTTTATGGCCTGTGTAACGTTTTCGTTTTCGATAACGCTGCACACGATTTGACTGACTCAAGGTTCGGAGGAGCGTAGCTTTCACACCCCAAGTCAGAGTGTACCTTTGAGGTCACTTTTATCTTAAAATTATACTTATGAGTTATGGATGTAAACACCATTTCCATACACTACTTAATATCGTATACATTGAAAGCTTTACTTTTTCAACAATTGTATTCAAATATTCTACCGAAAAATCTACAGCAAGAAACGATTAACTCATAAATTTGGTTGGATGGGAACAATGATGGACGGCGAAACGTACAAATGGGTGTTTGACAGCGCTGAGCAGATAACTAACATTTCTTATTCGTCCGGATTTTATAATTTTGAGGTAACTGCAGCTAAGTACAAAATACATAATTTAAATTATTATAATCTAATTCTCTGTGGATTTTTAACAGGAAAATGACTGTGTAATTGTCCAACACAATCTCACTCAAAAACCAGACAAATTTTTCATAGCTGGTGATGCTGATGATTACCAAAAAGATAGAATGGTAACATGCGCAAACAATTACCATGGAGATTACTATTTTGAACCAAACACGAAAACGTTATCATACATTGGTAAGATACAATTTTCGAAATCTTATGATTCCGTTTTTCACTTCTCTCCTATCCCTCTTTCCCCTTTTTCCTTTTTGCTTCAACTTTGTCTTTTTTCTCTCAAATCTCGGAAGTCAATCTTGGCTGTCCGATTTGGAATGTTTAAAATTATTTTGTTATTTTTCAAACTCTTTTCAACGCTTTCAAATTTTGTTATACTTAGTATCTGGTCGGGATAAGCCATCGCGCAGAAAGAAGAGGGCTATATCATCTTTATCCGCCACACCGAATGCAGTCAACAGAGACGTCAATTTCCGTGTATACCGATGCTTTTATGAGGTGAGTAAATGAATGAATGCACAAACAACAGGAAAGTACAGTATTTCATATGCTTTTATTTAGTTTATTTATTCTAATTAGATATGTGCCAGCAGCCTCGCTAGTAAAATTTACATTTTAATTCGATATTGATAACACGCTATTATTGGGGCGTAGACAAAATCGCAATTTATGAGGACTAGAATATTTCTGATTACAAATACTATCTTATTCCTTATTAGATGAGTTTGTGAAATTGAATTTTGAACCTGTGATCTTCAACACGCGATCCAACGATCATAATCCCAATGGAATAACATAGTCTCGACTAAGACTGCGTCCATGTTAATGAAGTATACAAATAAATAATATTCTTTTCTTCAGATTCAAACTCATTAATAATAAAATAATTCATAACAAATTATTATATTAATGTATTTTACATACTTATATACTTATAGAAATGTATACCTCCGCCTGATCCGAACAATTTGCCTCCTGCAAGAGAGCGACCAGATGACGTTCAATATTGGGATGTAACATCTGAATGGAAGACAAATACCGGAGAATATACAACTGTAAATGGCAACGCAGCATCTTCAACACCTCCAGATAACCAAGATATCAGGATTGAACCTGGTGGGTATATTGACAATGAAATTTTCGTTTTTCACGACATAGAAATTATTTTCAGGGAATTTTTATGGAGGGAATTCCAGTATGACAAATATTAAAGACCACACATACTAATAAAAAACATGTACAAAAGCATATACTGTACTAATGAAAGACAGAAAGATAAATGATTAAATATATCGTATAGAGTTTATAGTATACTATGTATAGACAATATAAATTCCAAATGAAACAAAGTTCAAGTTTCAGATAAGTACTACTTCTTTTTCGTCAAAATATACATGGTTTTTGCAATGGAATCTCAATTTACATAAACTTTGCAATATTTTATGATTTTTCAGCAATGATATTAATATGAATTAATTGAGGTCAAAATTAATATTCAATATCAGACTAACAAAATATCAAACAATTCTGATATTGACAGCCGCAGTATAGGACGCTTTGGGGGTAATTATTAGCCGTAATATAATTTCCGAGCTCTATTTTCCTCTCATTCGTTTTCTATTTAATTTAGGAACGTGGATGGTTGTGCGACAAAATTTACCCAAGATGAATAAATTGTGGATTGAGGGGGTTTTGGAAATAGATTGGGATGATGAAGATTTGTCATTAACATTGAGTGCTACTCATATTGTTATTATGGTATGTAACTTTATTTGATACTATATGAATGAATAAACCAAGGTTTCTTTGTCTATTATGCAAATGTTCTGTTTCTTAATGATGTCCTTCATTCCTCATGTATTACCAAAAACTTTTTGCGTATTCGACTTATCATCATCCAATTAGCTGCAAAATACAAATAAAATTGTTGAGTGTTTGTCACCCACGCTAATAAAAACTTGTTTAGTATGAATGTTTTAAATCAGGGGTTCTCAACCTTTTTTCTGTCAAGTACCCCCCGAGTCACGAAACAATCAATGCAAACCCCCGGAAACCAGACACCGAACAAAGTTGGGATATATTGACTAACAATTTGTTGCAACACCAATTTATTGACCATATGTAACTAAATTAAATCGTCTTGTTGATAGTATTGCCCTTGTCGTCTGCCAACTAATGAATTTATAAAATCTTTCCCAAGTTTCAATAAGCATAATCACTTATCCAATGCTCGCAGCACGCTGTCTTTAGAGATTTCACAGTTTGCATGCAAAACCTCGAATTTCACATTGTTGCGCCACAATCACAACAACGCAACATCAGGGAAAATCTACGTTTAAATTGGCATCTAGTTTCAATGGATACGCATTGTCCTATGGTAGTAATAGAGGATATTAAAAAAAATCACTACACAACAACTCGACTGTCATTCAAGTACCCCTGGAAATCTTCTCGTGAACCCCTGGGGGTTCGCGAACCTCAGGTTGAGAACCCCTGTTCTAAATGGTTATATTTAACGGTTTTGGGTATAGAAGACTACATTCTTATCATGTATGGTTATTAACCATGTGTAGTGGTTCCCAACCGCTGGTCGGCGGACCGGTGCCGGTCCTAGAGATTTTTTATTCTGACAGCATAACCGATTGGTTATACAAAAAGATGAAGTAACGTTGGTATATTATTCTATCTATGAGTTGGTGCCAATCCGTAATATTACTGAATGTCCTAGTAATACATTGTTGTGCGAACCGCGTTGTGCTTCTGAGAGCTACCAGCGCTTGCAAAATGCTAGAAATGAATTTCAAACCAAAAATATTCTATAGCAGAACACCATCCAATTATCGAAATAACATTATTTAATTAATTTGATATGATATTCAACTTGCAAAGGTTGTTTACTCTTTTCATGTTTCAGGGCGGACGACTAATAGTTGGTTGGGAGGATGCGACCTTCAAGGGACAACTCAGTCTTGTGTTACGCGGCGATATTAATACGCAGGATGTTGAATTGAACGGTGGAGTTGTTGTCGGATCAAAAGCTATAGGTAAATTATTTTCGAAGTAAATAGAATACCAAATGCCTAAAATTATTCTTGTCTTGTCACTGTTGCTTTTTTTTTCATTTTACCAAATCATTTTATTACAGCAAAAGAGATATTTCAAAGAATATATATTATTGATTAATACGTATGTTGATACACAAAAATAAACTTAACCTCATTTTCATTATTATGAGTGACCCCCCCGAAATAGAACTCAAAACTTTTCTAATTACTTTCATGAAAATGAAAAAATATCTGATAAATATCACTTGAAATTCTATATTTAAATGATCGTATCCAAAGGTTGCAGTAATTCAAAAAGCTTTGCACTTTTATTTTTTCTTCAAAATATGTTCTTAATGAGATCATCCTGTGCCCTCATGTACTGTTAGTAGAATATTTTTTACTCTGTTTAATCCTTTTTTGTTTCAAATTCAGGGTAACATATTTGTTGTATATGATATATTCTAGGTGTTCTTGGTGGACTGGACTTACATGGTCGCACGAGAATGCTTACAAAGACTCATCTGGCTTCTGCTGTCACTGCTGGTCAAAATTCCATCACGTTGGTGGATTCTCCAAGTGATTGGTCTGTTGGTGAGTCTGAATATTTCAAAAGAGGCGTAGTATGTTCTCCTACTTCTGGCTGTACTTCCATTGGGAGATAAGTGCTTTGGGGGGCTGTACACTATCGAAAATACTTTATATTCCTGTATACTACTATTCGTCTTGAATTCAAACCAAACGGTAGTTTGTTTTTATCTCCAAGCCAACGAATTTGGCTCCAAGTTCAACATTTTATGCTCTTAAGTTGAGATTAAGTGGGCGTTGATGAAGATTCGTTTTTGCTTTGTATATTGTATTTCATCTATATACGAGAATGTATGCATGTAGAATTGCAATATTATTTAATATTTTAGGCGAAGAAATTGTTATTGCTACTACCAGTGCTGATCCATGGGAAACAGAAACCTTCAAAATATCTGAAATAAACGCCAAAACTCTTACGTTAAATGCGACATTGAAATTTGATCATATGGGTGAGCTATTTTGATTTCAGTTTCATCATTTATTTGTTATCACATCTCTATTCGTCACGATCATGCTCAGATAAAATTTCCTGTTTCTTCGCAAGGAGAGGAGAGCTGACGAACAGCGATTGCTCACACAGATAGGATGCTAAAATCATCATCTAGTTCAACGTTCTTATCAGGATGAATAGTCCGTACTTTTGAACACATTGACAACAAGAATATTTTTGCTTACAGCTGATACATTCACATATACTGATAAAAGTGGAGTGGAACAATCTTATGACATTAGAGCCGAGGTTGCTTTACTTACCAGAAATATTAAAGTAATCGGAGAAGATTATAATGATTTGTATACTCATTCATTTGGAGCAAGAGTTCTTGTCGCTGGAGTAGGCTCTACAAGGTGAACTGTTGAATGAAATATTTACATGAGAAAGTGGACATGAGAAAATCCTATTCTAACTAAAAATGAAAATAACATAAGTATCAAAGATCACAGAAAGATGATTCACTCACTCACTCATTATTGAGTAACAAATTAAGTTACAACTTAACAAGTTACAAATTAAGTCGGAGGTATTGTTACTTTTTAGAATCTTTCATGAATACTTTTGATTCTAACTACACGCAAAAAGACAGACCGTTACAATTGTCAGCCTAGTTTTACACCCTGATTATATTGGAATAATTTGATAGCCTAAACTGATTATTTTTACTCAGGGGCTACGCACGCGTTCAGAACGTTGAATTCTATCATACAGGACAAGAAGGATTTATCGATAATTACGATCCGAGATATTCTTTGGCATTCTTGAATACAGGTGAAAAATTGGAAACAATTTTTTTCTTCAATTCTTTCAACTTAACCACGCAATCTTTGTACAATTACGCTGATATAATTTCTAGGCCAAAATAGGGGGTGAATAATAGTGTAAATTTGTCAATTATTTTAGTGTTCATATATTGTACGCTGGCTCATTCAAAAGATGCATTCTGGAAATCCAAGCCGTTTCCCGCCTTAAAAGTTGGATTATAATATTAATATACAATTATATTATGGCTAATATATTTATCGTAACGGCGCGAACTCATGCCATGCCAAAAATTCTCGAACAGACTTCGTCTCTCAATCGATTTCATATAGTAAAAATTAGTGTCAAATTACACCTGATTCGACATGTCACTTTCTGACGTTCGTCGAACAATGTAAACTAAAATTTGTCAAAATAGTGAAAATTGGTTATATATGATATATTCGGGATTAGGAAATAGCAGATATTAAATATGTATATATATATAATTATAACCTCTAGTCTATACTCTAGCCGCCCGGTGATTTTTCTGACAAACTTAAACTAAGTTATAAAATAGGTAAGCTTTTTTTAAAAGATTTTAAATATCGACCCATTGGGAATAGCTGAAAAAGTTAGTTTTTTGTATTTTACAAAACTCTTTATATTACTACTTTGTAGGAAGTGTCGATACCATTAAGCCTTCCTCCGTGAAACGTAATGTTTTTCATCATGGTTTTAACACTGCTATTGGAGTGTTTGGTGCCAGCTTACTGGAAGTAAAAGGAAACATTATTCATCATACAGTTGGCCCTGCGATAAGAGTAGAAGGCGATCAAGTGAGGTATGTTCAAATAAAGTAAATTTGACTGTCACATTCTGTAACACACATTTTGCTGGCTGCGATATGTGGATGGTTTTCTGATTGGCTTCTTAAATGGCATATAACTACTATTATTGTGTATCGCTACCCAATGTATAAAACCATTTTGTCAGTTTTAGACATCGGGACTACTTTGGCGCTTAATATATATTTCCGTATCTATAGAATGTATGATAAATTGCAGTTACCTAAAGATATCAATTGAATTTGGTGTTCTCCTGATAAATGTGTTTGGAGATGCACCTTCGGCCCCTGCGCGGGTATTGGGAAAGTATTAAAAAGTACAATGCGTTGCACACAGTATATACCAATAGTCTTATTAAACATGATGTTGGCACAATCAACGAACAGTCAGAAATAAAACTTATTTTACAGAGTTGAGGATAATCTAGCTATGCTGGTCCGTACTAGATCTGTTTATCAAGACAGAATGGAAGATGATATTATGCTATGGAAAGCCGCGATTGAGGTGATTGTCCATAAAAAATTGCGTTTCATAAAAAATGTAGTAAAATAGGCGCTGATAAAAAATAGTCAAGCCAACAACTTCTGTTTCAAGAAAAGTTACTTGATATCAATATATAATACATGAATCACATCCTCATTTTAATATATTTTGGTAAAGTTCGTTTGTACAAAAATATTGGAAAGCTCCAATAAATTAGTTTCACATATAATTCAGCGGAATTAGTCTAAATATCTGTAATTTTGATTAGACTGGATTTTTAAATTCCAGTTTATGTACACTATATTCTGTCTGTGCAGGTGAATTTAGCAACAGCGCCAGTGATCTCGGATAACGTTGTCGCTGGCTCCGAGAGAGGAGGATATCGTATCGATGGACATAATTGCGACGAGTAAGTATACTATCATAAGATATATCTTATAGTATAGATCGGGGTGGTCCAAGGTTGTCGGCTCCGCGGGCCACAAAATTATTTTTGCATCGTTCGCGGGCCACAATAGTGCCAAGAATAGGTAAACAGTGCAATACTAAACAAACACCTTTACTGTGCAAACACATAGTTATCAGGCATAGCCATTCTAGGCTAATAGAATCTGCATTCGATTTTTAGTTTTCTATGATGCCTATATTGTTTGCATATATTCCCGACCAAAAAGTTAAAAATCCAGATAACAATTTAGACCGCCAAGCACATCATTCAACTTCGCTAGTTTCCCCAGCTATCCATAACACTATTTAATTCAGTGACAATAGTGATGACAATATGTCAAAAGATTTTTCTGAATAATTTTATGACGAAACAACACGAAACGCGATTTTTTGATTACTCTCCGAATGTGCGCGGGCCACAGATAATGAAGCGGCGGCCATATGTGGCCCGCGGGCCTGGGTTTGGACCACCCTGGTATAGATACAATATTTATTCTTACTAATTTTCTTTCAATAGTTAGCACTCTTGATTTTCTGAATCAGGAAATTAAGAGCAGTCAATTCACATTTTATTATATATAGAGATAAATTGATCGCATTAAAAGCCTTTACTACTGTTGTTTTAAGAGCCATTATAAGTAATACTATAGGCTACAAGCTAGCTGACGGGGTACAACAGATGGTACTCCCGTAGTGTGTGTACCAGGTTAGCGCATGATTTTATTCCTATTTTCCTTATTTTAGTTCATATTACGAGTTCGGGGACTGTCTGTGTTGTTCGAGTGAACATAACCCATGCCTATATGTTTCAGTCCATTTACACAACTTGATGTAAAAGAGGGGAACAAAATTAGTTACCTCTATATTGGTACACATACTTCTGGAGCGCCCAATATGTAATGCCACTCGCGAGTCGCGACGTCACATTTTTTCCTATTCTTGAATGCTGCCTTCTTTAAAGCAGTATCGACCCAAATTGTTACCTATTATATGTTTGTTGGCGTAATCCTAAATAAATACACAACAATGCAAAGTAGTAAAAAAACATTCATTTTTTTCTTCAAATTTTTTATTAGAAAAAAATTTAAATAGTCTGCGGAAAAAGCCTTCTTTTTTCCATCAACTCCGATGGCTTCACATGAGGGAGTATCATTGTGCTCAACCTCGTTTTTAATCTTTTCAGCACTGCCGATGATATCTTCAGCAGTTGCCTTGATTAGGTTTTCTTCTACTTTTGAAGCATATTGTACGTTTGATAAGGTTTGCTCCACCTTTGGCAATTCTTCAATTTCTTTTAAAATGTTTTATGACGGTCATAGGCACGTCTACTTTACCATGATGGGCTTCTACTGATTTCCCCATCTCTTCTTGAGGTGACTGGGGCTTCTCTGTTATATTTGGAGGCAAGGTAATACGCGTCTGCCTTTGAATCATATAATCAGATCCTTTATTGTTGTCCCATACCGCCATCGCGTTCCCCTCGACACCAAAATAGCAAGATCTCCATCTTTCGGCCGGGGAATGTCAAATTTAAATCAATCTTTTTTCAATCTTCTCGAATGAGTCGGAACAAGATGGCTTCAATGTCCAGAAATTTTCTCCACCGGTTGAATGTTAACCTGATGAAAATCTTTCTCTCGTAAACCAGGTTGGCTTGACCAACTTCTTATACGTCGCAATTTAGCTCAGTTAATACTATAGTTGACGTGTCAATTCGTTCTCTACTCTTTTCAGCGTTAAATCTCATAAAAATATTCGGGATTAAGTAGTATATAGAGGCCAGGTCACTAGAAAAGAGACAACACAAGTACACAACGCTAAATGAACATATCCATAACAATGAAATCAAAATTTAGGCGCAAATACAGCGCCTTTGAGTGGTGAGATCATATGGTATGAATGGGCGAAGTATAAGAGATACATTTGCGGTTCTTGTGCATATGTGGTATACGTCACTCAAGGGCGCTAGTAGGGTATTTGATAGAATATATCTATTTCAGCAAAAATATGAACCATACAGATTTTGGTGAAATACTTCAGTTCGTGTGTCAAATTCTTAGGTATTTTTGTTTTATTTATAAAATTGAAGCCGAATGTGGTAAGAAATAAAGGAAAAATAAACTTATTGAAAAGCATTTCAACAAAACCTGTCATGATTGCATTTTTGCCAGAAGAAAATAAATGTATAAAAGTACTATTTAATTAAGGCTAATATTTTATAAAAAGAAGCATTTTTTCCATGTCATGGATTGCCCTAATTGTATTAGGATCACAATAGAGTAATATTGCTTTTAGAATTATTGTCGAGGCCACACAAGCTATCTCGACTTAATTTATATATACGATAATAATTTTGTATATTATTCGTGAAATATTTTCAATTAAAAACATCTTCGACGTGTTATAAGCAGTTAAAATCAGCGCTAATTGAAATATTATCATGTGGCTGTAATTTATTGCCGTGCGTACACGGCTGCCTTGGGTTACCATGAAAATGAAGTAATTGTAAAATGTTTTTAATCGGTACGTGAATCGCGGCGCTAGGATATGTGCGTTTATAAACTCGAAAAAACGATATTCGAAGGTCGCAATATTCGAATTGGACATCCCTGATTCAAGCACTGCAATAAATTAATCTTAAATAACACTACACGCGGTATACAAGTTTTCTACCTTCCGTATGTTGAAAATCTGAAAAACTATTTTTACGAGTGGAACAATTCGGCGAATGTTTCAGGACCCGTTACATGGAAATTTCCGAATTCTGATCTCCCCACCCTCTTTGAAAATCTTGACTGTGCCACTGAAAGTGTGTATTGTAACGCGAGTCTAATCGATCTTTTTATGAATTTTTTGTCGGGATAATATGCAAAATTTAGGGTAATCATGCTTAAGATAAGTATTTCGCAAGCCTTCATTCACGGAAATTGTAGGAGAATCCATCCTCTGAAAATCAATCGATTTTTACGATCACCGATTCTTTTCGAGATCCTCATTAGCTAAATCATTGAGCTGAAGTTACAAACTTTCTATTACTACCAAATATCCCACGTATCGTGCTTCAAAAAATCAGATTTTTACAAAGTATGGTTGTCACTTAACCCATTAATTCGCCGACAAGAAATGCGTCGGAACAGAAGATCAGTCAAGCGTTCACTATCTGCAGCATAACAATGGTAAGACAATGGTCATTTTGATCCATTGTTAAGATTCAATGCCTAGACGAAACGACCTTTTAATTGTGACGTAACAATCGTACCCAGAACCACCGTATTCTGTTCAGGCTAACGTACGTACATCTTGCTTACAACTGCAGTGCGTCCGTTCTCCGGTAATGCACGGAATTTTAATGTCAAATTTGGCGTTCAGGAAGAAAACTTAAAAGAGTTTAGTCTTCTGTATTTTATGGTCGCCTTGAATAGACGTCGTACTGCTTTGTTCACTAACGTAATGAAGATTGCCTACGTGGAAAACCATTCTTTACTATGATTATGAACCATCAATCGCCCTAGTTCTAACATTATGTTATTTCGTGAATTATTTTAATTGTAGCAAAAGCCAGACGACACATGCTGAAGCATTGGTGCATCGGCTACTAATTGTTAACATGAAACTTGAGTTTTCCTCTTGAAACACACCGTTTTTGTCACGTGCTATTCCAAACATTTGCGAGAAAATACTTTTAGAATAACTTTTTATGTCATGTCCTAAACTTGGGAATCGACCAGATTAATATTGTTCCAGCCCAGTGACATGATATATCTTGGGTAGGCTTGCACGTAATTGACAAAAATCAATTCCGTAATTACGGCAAAATCAATTACGTAATGACCCCGTAATTGCGATATTTTTCCACGCATTTAAACCTATCGTAACAACCAATTGAATCCACTTTTTTCCGAATGGGACATTGAAGTTGGGTTTTCCTATTCTTGGCAGTACTACACGCCGGCGGCAGATGTTAAAGACAACTATCAAGGAGTGAATTCAAATTAATTTTATTCTGATTTTTATCTTTTGTGTTAGCTTTAGTTTTTCTTTATCACCTTCGCAAATTAACCGTCCCATTTTTATGCGATCAATTTTATTTTATCATTACCGACACTGGTATACGGATATTTATGGAAACGATAGTTTTTTAAAACCACCTGAGTACTGAATAAAAATTACGGGTTTTTAATTTATTAACCAACGACGAGCGTATTTTCTCATTTAATTATACTTGCGATTTCCTCGCGACGAAGACTTGTTTTTGCAGCGTTTTCTGCATTATCCGACATTACTGCCTTGTTAGCATTTTTATAATAATAATTATTGATGTCGACTTATTGACCATATTCCTATTACCATGCTTCATTTTACATTCAATCATTTCGCGGACTGAATGTTTATAACATTATTTGCGATAAATTTAGATCAAATATTATTTATTTGCGTATAATTTAAATACCGAACTTATATGACCTGCCTTCTCCGAAAATACCAAGTTATATCGCAAAACAATGCATTTTGTGACATTTATTTTACACTCACAACATTTATTTGCTAACTCAAGTCGGCGATCCTATCGGCCAAGATTGACAAAAGTTTGGTCGAGTGCCGGTGGTATTCAAGTCGACGATAAATCAAAATAAGTTGCCGCATTTGGTAAGACAGTTAATCATATATGGCCGAAATATTGAGAGGAATTGTGAAAAACCTCACGAGCAAGGCCAAGTCCGGACTGATATATAACGATGAAACCGTTAACAGAACATCAAGACTTTGTAATAGAAAATGGATCTCGCACAGAATAAACACACGGGCTCATATTTGATTATATATGATAGCAGGAATCCGTCGTTTTGGTTCATTACGCAATCTCTCTTTTGTCGTCATATTGCTATTTGATAAGCGCGACATTAATTATCACGGCGAGGTATTGGCGCGAGTGATCAATCGCTCTTTTCGCTTATTTGGTTC